CTCATAGGAACAGAGGGTCGCATAGTGGTTACCTGGGGTGGGGGGGAAGATGCTGGTCAAAGGACACAGAATTTCAATTAGGAATAAATTCAGGAGACCCGCTGCTTGCACTTCATGGCCACTTTAGTTAATAGTAACGTTCAAAGTCACTAAGAGTAGATTTTGAGTGTTCTCCCCCCACACACAAAATGAGTATGAAATGTGGATGTAAATTAGCTTGATTTAGCTATTCCACAGTGTTCAGGTATATGAAAACATCATTTTGTACACTGTAAATATACCAGGGTGCCAAAAATATGCATACACCTTTTAAGCACTGTTAACTCTGTATTGCTTTTACTTTCGCCATCATCAGAAGTGCCTGGACGCTGATGGGAACCACTTTGAGCACCCCTTGTCATTGCAGAAGTCAGACGACTTGTGTTCATCTTTTGTTACGGGCTTATGTTGAGTATTACAATTTTAATAGTTTTTTCCATTCGGGCGCAATGGCTCACGCCTGTTATCCCAGCACTTTGGGAGGTGGAGACGAGAGGATTGCCTGAGCCCAGGGGTTCAAGACCAGCCTAGGCAACATGGTGAGACCTCGTCTCTACAATACATTTTTAAAAATTATCCAGCCGTGGTGGCAGGTGCCTATAGTTCCAGCTACTTAGAAGGCTGAGGCAGAAGGATCACCTGAGCTCAGCAGGTCAAGTCTGTGGTGGCTGTGAGCTTGCTGTTGTACTCCAGCCTGGACAACAGAGTGAGACTGACTAAAAAAAAAAAATGCACAGAAGAGCTGAAGGTGCAGGGCAGGGAACACCTATATAGCCTTCACCTCTAGTCCCCCCATGCTCCTTGTCCCTCCCTCTTCTGGGTCCACTTGTACACACACAGGCACACATCTGGAATGTATTTATTAAAAAATTTATTAAAAATTGTGTATTTAAGCTGGGCTCGGTGGCTCAGCCTGTAATCCCGCGCCTTGGGAGGCTGAGGTGAGTGGATTGCCTGAACCTGTGGGTTCAAGACCCGCCTGGGCAACTTGGCGAGACCTCATCTCTACAATAAATCAAAAATTAGCCGGGCGTGGTAGCGTGCGCCTGTAGTTCCAGCTACTCGGAAGGCTGAGGCGGAAGGATCGCCGGAGCCCAGCAGGTCGAGGCTGTGGTGGCCAGGAGTGGCCACTGCACTCCAGTCTGGGCGACAGAGTGAGACTGCAACTCAAAAAAAAAATTTTTTTTTAGTTGCGTATTTATTCTGACATGTTTAAACTTCAGTCACCTTCAGAGTGCTGTCTGTTGGGTACAGCACACCCATCAAGATGCTCTTTTCACTGTTCAAAATGGGTTTTGAACTCATCAGTGTTGATGCCTGTGAATGCTTGTGCTGTTTTCTGTTTCACCTCTTCAACATCAGCAAAACGTTTACCTTTGAGTTCTTTTTTCATCTGGGGAAACAAAAAAATGTTGCTCGGGCGAGATCTGGTGAATGGGGAGGATGGGGCGTGGACCACACCATTTTTGGTCCAAAACTGCTGAACACTCAGCGTGGTGTGGGCAGGTACGTTGTCATGGTGGAAGAACAAGTCACCTGTTTGCCACAACTCAGGATGTTTCTTCTGCAAATTGTGATGCCACCTCCTCAAAACTTACAGATTTTTATCTGACTGAAGTTTAAACATGTGCAAATAAACACATGACTGTTTATAAATAAATTCCATGTTTGGGGTCGCCTCTCGTACACACGCATGCCCATGTGCACACACTTGCCAAGTCTTCTGAAAGCGGGTGGTTGGTCCACACGGCTGTGCTTACCCTGGCAGGCTCCCCTACTGTGAGAACACATGACCATGCCTGGGAAGAATCAGCATTTGTTCAGTGTCATCCCACCACGGTGCACGCCATGCTTTATTTTTCCCAAATGCCGCTTTTCTTCCTGTGGGGTCCACGCTCAGCGTTGGCGCTGTCTCCTCCATCCCCCTAGCCCAGCTCTCCTTTTCTTCATGACATTGAGTCCCAAAGACTCCTGGCCAGCGGCTCTCCAGGACACGCCATCCACTGGGTCATCTGACACCTGTCCTTGTGATCGGGTTTAGTGTACACTCTGCTGGACTCCACACAGGCCCTGTGCACGGTGACCCACATCTAATCAGAAGCACATGGTGTCAACTTTCTGATGCTTGGGATAGATACTGCCACTGTAAATTCATACTTCTCCTTTATGATTGATGAGTCCGCTGTGGGTGGTACTGTGCAATTTGTGACCACAGGTGTTCCTCGACCGACAGTAGGGTTACAGCCCGGTAAGCCCATCAAGTGTTGAAAAGACCGTAAAGTGAAAATGCATTGAGTACGCTGAATCTTCCATGTCTCTGGGTGTAGCCTGGCCCTACCCTACATGTACTCAGAGGCTTACATTAGCCAACAGTTGGGCAAAGTTCAAATAAAACACTGACCTCGTGTAGTTCATTGAATTTTTAAATTTTGAGTTGAGATCTCACTCTGTTGCCCCAGCTGGAGTAATTCTGGCTCACTGCAACCTCAAACTCCTGGGCTCAGTCAGTCCTTCTGCCTCAGCCGCCCCAGGAGCTGGGACTACAGGTACAGGGCACTTTGCCCGGCTAATTTTGGGGTTTTCTTGTTTTGTTTTGTTTTTGAGGCAAGTTCTCACTATGTTGCTCAGGCTGGTCTCAAATTGCTGCTCAAGCAACCCTCTTACCTCAATCTCCCAAAATGCTGGGATTACAGGTGTGAGCCACTGCGCCCAGTCAATGTATTGAGTACTGCACTGAAAGTGAAAGATGGAATAGCTATGTGGGTGCTGGAAGTATTTGTTTTTCCTGGATCATAAAGTCAAGAAAATTTAAGTCCAACCATTGTAAGTCAGGGATTGCCTATGCCGCATTTCCCAACCACCTTTCTCCCAGTGGACTGGGTCAGTGGACCCACTAGGACCCATGGTGATCCAGCCTCAACCGGTTGTGATCCTGGGGGCCCAGGGGTGGTGCTTCTCCATCCTGCTATTCTGCTCACATCTCACCATCTCGTGTTCTTCTGCAAAGAACAGTGTTACCATATCTTTTCCTTCTTTCCTTTCTTTCCTTTTTCTTTTTTTTTTCCTTTTTTTTTGTGAGTTGGAGTCTCACTGTCACCCAGGCTGGAGTGCAATGACACACTCATGGCCACCGCAGCCTCGACCTGCTGGACTCAGGCGATCCTTCCGCCTCAGCCTTCC